TTCCTCTATCTGTTATGAAGGAAGTTTTCTCTTCGTCTTCGGGATTCATCATGATATGATTATATCCAGAAAATGCATCCATAAATGACAAGAGTTCGTTTCCGGCTGTTGATTCTACAAGCCGATCAATATGAGGGAGAGGAAATCTGTCTTTCGGACATGCTTTGTTAATGTCAGTGAAATCGACACATACTCTCCATTTTCCATTTTTCTTTTTGACTACCACGGGGTTTGCTAACCAGTCTGGGTATTTTACTTCTCTAATTGAACCAATTTTCAAAAGCTTATCAACTTCGTCATTTACCGCTTGAGCTCGGTCAGGACCCAGTTTTCTTCTTTTCTGCTTTATTGGTTTAAAACTGGGATCAACATTTAAATCATGGGTAATGATACTTTTGTCGATTCCAGGCATATCTTTTGCCGACCAGGCAAAAGTATGTTTATTTTCTTTTAGAAATGTTACCAATTGATTTTTGATTTCTGAATCTAAAGTAGTACCGATTTTTACATTTTGATCTGGAAATTCGGAATCAATTTCAACTTCTGTGGTAACTTCATTCGAACGGAGACCACTTGGGTAACGCGAGGTGCTTTCTTGCTTCGCATTTATCATTAATTGCTATTTGAGCTTTAGACGATGTCCCATGAGGTAGCAAGAACGCGACGTTTCCTGATCTCCTCGAATGGTTCCGATTCCTCCGGGAGTCAGAAATTTCACACATTGGTGATAAGTTGAAGGTATAGCCTTCATTTGGTATATCCACGGAGTTCCGAGAATTATGTTGTAAGCGGCCGGTCGGTCGAAAACAATAAATTCTACAATTTTTGGAACCTCTGCGGCGAGCACTGGTAGTTTTATGTTTCCTAAGGACATTGATGTGTCACTCGTGAAAGCTACTAATGGTGCCGGTGGACCAATAATGTCGGCTTTACTGATTCCCATTCTTTGCAAAGTGCTTAGAAATATGAGATCTACCGAGTTTCCAGTATCAATTAGACACCTTGTCACTTCGAAGTTCGCAACATCTAAGGTTATCACAAGAGCATCGTTTTGAGGCCCTGTTACTCCTTGAGCGTCCGAATTGTCAAAAGAGATAGAAGGTATTTGATCATTTGACTGAAAACCCATAGCAGTTTGAGTTGCTGTGACTTTTTATGCCTTTTGATTGACCTGATCGAATCTCAGCATAATTTGGATCCTCTCATTATAACATCGATCCTTTTCTTAGGAGTGTTCGGAGTTCCAGGCCCATTGGGCTTATGTTTCTTTTCAGGAGGATTAGAAGCTTTAGATTCTTCTTTTTCTTTGTGATAAGACTCAACAAATTCCTCAATATTAAAATTAGCGAGCTCTCCAGCTGCCCACAGCTCGGTGAAGTGCTTTTTGAGTACGCTACAATCTTTGGTGGAGTGCCCATTTACTCTGTGAATATTGCAATAGGCACTTTCATCTCTAACCCAAGTATTAGGAGGATTGTGTCTTCCTCTGCTTGGGGATGGTTTTCCTACAGCATTAGTAGCAGGATTAACTCCGAACCTTTTTTGATCTTTAGGTTCGAACTTTTTTGTTGGATTTGCAACGACTAATTTAGCTCGCCGATTCTTCGTAGCGAGACTAAGTTTTTCTTCCTCCACCTCCATCCAATTGTTAGCTCGGAAGAGAGCATCCTGGATGGTGCTTGGACGATTGACAATGAGTTCTTCCCGAAATCGGGATTCGTGCCAGAGTCCATTCCTTAAAGCGGATGGGCAGCAGCATGCGATACCCCAGGAATTTTAGCTATCACTTCTTTGAATTTAGCGATATATTTGCGAAGTGGTTCATTCTGACCTTGGATAGATTCCAAATATTTGCATCAGAAGTCGTCAATAGGAAGATTTCCCTGACCCTGGGGAATTTCTTCTTTGGTTGGGTTAGTACTATCTGGCTGGCCTATTGGAGGAGTTTGAGTAATCCCGGGAGTCGCGAATAACCTGCGCTGACGTATTGTCGTTCGCGCTGAGGACAAATTATCTAAACGGCTTGACTGGACGGTAATCTGTTCGTTTCGGCGCTGAAGGGACAAAATTTATCCTTAAACCGGCCTTGAAAACAAACCGTTTCTGCGCGGTTTGGACAAAATTTGTCCTGGGGTGGGTTTGGAACACTCGTTAAAGGTTTTGCTCCGATTGAAGTTCAACCTTTCACCCAAAAAGTGGTGTTGGCCACCCAACCAAGTGTACCCCATCTGATTGGTCAGATCGGTTGTTGTTTGAGTAAGCAAGGGCGATTTGCATCGTTCAATGCTTGCTGCTCAGCCAAAGTTTCTTGGTTTGGGAAAGAAAGATTTTGAGATCAAAGAGTTTTGTGGTAGATCCCCACAGGCGGCGCCAAAATGTGGATGTAGGATTCACACTCGATTGTTTTAAGTATTTCAGTGGAGAAAAGATGTAAAGAAATTTGACAAGAACGAAGTACAAAATGCCTTGCGACAGTAATCAAAAGAGAAAATATATTGTATTGCTTAGAAGTAATGAGTCAAAAGATTCGTACCCCAAACACATGCGTTTGAGGTTGTTTTTATAGAGAAAACATGATCAATGCAGTCATTTACTGCTCATAATCGCATTGATCCGCATTAATCATGTAGGTTACAACTTGACCGAAACGGCTTGAATTTGAACTATCTTGGGCTTCGCATGGATCTTCGGAACTCTTTCTTGCTGACTCCAAACTCCCGCGTTTGACGCTACCGCGAGCCTCAAACAATATTCTCCTTGCTTCGGCCTTTCTCTATGCGAACTGTCTGTCGAATAAGAGCGAACTCCATACTGGCAAAGATCGAGCTCTTCTATTAGACTGAACCAAACTCCCAACTGGTTAAGCTCGATTCTTACAATAAAATATCTTTAATTCCAAGAGGATTTTTATGTAATAATGATGTGGACAGATCCAAGTGGATCCTACCGAAGATGTGTGGGATCCGACCCCAACACCTATGAGTTTTTTTGTTTTGCATTTACGCTACTTTAGTAGCTGGGATCCGGGTTGCATTTTTCTTTCTTATAATCAGTCATACACACCAATCTTGTCATATTGGACTCCAAGAACCTTAAATAAGCTTATTATGGCTTACCCAAGTTTTGTAAGTGAGGACGAAGTCCCTATGAGTTTTTTTTTTTTGCATGTACTCTTCCTTAGCAGCCAGGATCTGGGTTGCATTTCTCTTTCTTATACTCAGTCATACACACTATTCTTGTCATATTGGACTCCAAGAACCTTACACAAGCTTTTCATGGCTTCCACAAGTTTTGTTAAAGCGGACGAAGTCACTATGAGTTTTTCTGTTTTGAATCTACGCTACTTTAGCAGCCAGGATCCGGGTTGCATTTCTCTTTCTTATACTCAGTCATATACACCACTCTTGTCATATTGGACTCCAAGAACCTTACACAACCTTTTTATGGCTTCCACAAGTTTTGTTAAAGAGGACGAAGTCACTATGAGTTTTTCTGTTTTGAATCTACGCTACTTTAGCAGCCAGGATCCGGGTTGCATTTCTCTTTCTTATACTCAGTCATACACATCAATCTTGTCATATTGGACTCCAAAAACCTTACACAAGTTTATTATGGCTTCCACAAGTTTTGTAAGTGAGGACGAAGTCCCTATGAGATTTTTTGTTTTTCATCTACGCTACTTTAGCAACCAGGATCCAGACATATCTTTTGCCGACCAGGCATGAATCGATAAAAGTATCATTACCCATTAATTAAACGTCGATCCCAGTTTTAAACCGATAAAGCAAAAAAGAAGAAAACTAGGTCCTGACCGAGCTCAAGCGGTCAATGACGAAGTTGATAAGCTTTTGAAAAATGGTTCCATTAGAGAAGTAAAATACCCGGACTGGTTAGCAAACCCCGTGGTAGTAAAAAAAAAATGGAAAGTGGAGAGTATGTGTCGATTTCACTGACATTAACAAAGCATGTCCAAAAAACAGCTTCCCTCTCCCTCATATTGATCGGCTCGTAGAATCAACAGCCGGAAACGAACTCTTGACATTCATGGATGCATTTTCTAGATATAATTAGATCATGATGAATCCCGAAGATGAAGAGAAAACATCTTTCATAACAGATAGAGGAATCTACTATTATAAAGTTATGCCATTCGGTCTAAAAAATGTCGGGGCAACATACCAGCGTTTAGTTAACAAAATGTTCGCAAAACATTTGGGCCAAACAATGGAAGTCTATATCGATGATATGCTCATAAAATCTCTTAAGAAATCCGAGCACATCACTCATCTTGAACAATCATTACAGGAAATGAGGGTATTCGTAGCATCTGAAAACCGCTATCTAAAGATACCATAGCGGCGTAGAAAGCGCTATGTTTGCGCCCGTTATAGTAGGTCTGACACTTTACGTAGCGGTTTTTGTAAGTGCTATTAAGATATTAGATAACATAGCGTTTTTTGGTATGCAATATATAAATAGATAATAGCGATTAATAATTGCTGTTAATATTTATTATATATATATATATATATATATATATATATATATATTTTGTAATACGTAGACAATACGTATTTTATACATGAATGTATTTATACAGTATTTGTGTATTTATACAAGATTGTATATATAAAGTATTTGTACAAATTATATACATTTTTAGTTTATTAATTTTTTATTATATTTAATTTATTATTTATTAGGTTTTTTTGGATATATCGACAAATTAAAAATATCATATTTTATTATATTATATCAATCATAATATTACATTATATCAATCATAATTTATTAGGTAAATTATACATGTTATACAAATGATGTATTGTACAAAGGAGTATTTTTATACGTATTTTTGTATCCACGATTAATAAAAGCGAACAAGGACAAGAATTAGACTGCCTCGGAGAGCTTCGGGATAAGAGGAAATCAGAAACCAACACAGAACTCCTACAAGAGAAAACATATTAATGGAGAGGTTTTAGATACTGAAACAACATATCGCCGCAGACTTAGGATTGTTGCTCGTCAGCAGGTTTTGGTGCTGCTGGTGCTGCTTCTTTGATGTCATCAGTAGGATCGTCCTGATTAAAAACATTTGACAATAACATCAGAATCATAATCAGACCAGAAGAAAAGAAGAAATGAGAAACGCATCAAAATGTAAACTAAATAATTTCAAATATAGTCTTCCTCAATGGTTTATCCTGCTCATGGCTTCAGAAATCAAGTAACAAAACAGGATTAAATACATTTGACAATCACTAAAATCAGACCAGAATAATGGATCAAAATGTATAACTAAACCGTTAGATTTCAAAAAGTAGTCTTCCTCAATGGCTTAAAAAGGCTCATGGTTTCACAAATCAAGCAACAAAACAGGCCTGTGCAAGTTTAAACACATTTGACAATCACTAATATCAAAATCAGACCAAAAGAATGCATCAAAATGTGAACTTAACCGTTTGATTTCCAAATCTAGTCTTTCTGAATGGCTTAATTAGGTTAAATGTTTCAGAGATCAAGCAACAAAACAGGATTTAACACAGTCTACAATCACAATTCACAAACCTCTGAATCAGACAAAAAGAATGCATCAAAATGTAAACTAAACCGTTTGATTTCCAAATGAAGTCTTCCTCAATGGCTTAAAAAGGCTCAGGGTTTCACAAATCAAGCAACAAAACATGATTAAACATTTGACAATCACAATAAAATCAGAATCAGACCAGAAGAATGCATCAAATTGTAAACTGAACCATTTCATTTCCAAATCTAGTCTTTCACAATAACTAGATCAGCTCATCATTTCAGTAATCAAGCAACAAAACATGACTTATACAGCCAAAGTATAATACCTGCATATCAGAGGTCCAGAGAGTGAGGTTATCACGAAGAAGCTGCATAATCAAAGTACTGTCCTTGTATGACTCTTCACCAAGAGTATCCAATTCAGCAATAGCTTCATCAAACGCCTAATAAATCCATAAACAAACCTCATCAAACACACACAAAAACCATCAAATACATAACCATATAAAACATCCCTCTGATTAGATCCAAACCTGCTTAGCGAGATTACAAGCACGATCAGGAGAATTGAGAATCTCATAGTAAAACACAGAGAAGTTCAACGCTAAACCAAGACGAATCGGATGCGTTGGAGCCAATTCAGAATTAGCAATATTCTTTCAGTCGATTTCGAGGTAATGGATGAAAGGTTGAAGAGAATCTCGCCAAAGCCTTTGTTGGGCGATGAACGGCTGAGATTTTCTTAAACATTCAGCCACCAAATCCTTTGAAAGGAGGAGATGTCGCCACGTCATGTATCCGAGTATTGCTTATTGATTGGGTTGAGTAAATTGATCATGTATTAGATCAGATGAATGGCTGAGATCTCGCCACATCAGCAATCCGAGTGAAACAATATGATTGGCTTATTTTGTTTATAGGCTTAAAAATGTGTTTTTACTATTTATATAATTTTAAAAAAATATATATTGACGAATTAATATGTTAATGAGTTATTTACAAGATTAGATAATTTTTTCGCAATTTAAAAAAAATATTTTGCAAAGTTTTTAAAAATTTGAAGGTAACACTACTGATTGCCTTATAATACATGTACACTAATTTTCTTATTGTGTAAATCATATTGTTGAAAGTTGAAACACATTAATGATGTTATAATTAACTAAATGATAGAATTCATTTATGTTATAATAGTATACTTTATATCATTAATATTAGCTATAAACCCTAAACCCTAAACCCTAAACCCTAAACCCTAAACTATTTTTAAAAATGAATATTACTTATGTTATTATTTGTTATAATTAATATTATTACTATTTGAAACAAATATAATCGAAAAACCTAAATCATACATTTCATACACTAAACCCTAAATTTTTGAATTTTGAAACATATTTTTGGCTATTTATCAATTATCAAAATAAAATGCAAGAAAAATTATTAAATTTTATCATATTTGATTATTTGATGAGTAGAATTAACAAATGAATGTTTGAACCTTTGAGAATATTATTTGATTATGTATTAGCTAATTAACAAATGAATCTATGAGAATAATTATGAACAAAATAAAAGTTTATTTGTAGTTATAGTTACGTATTTAGTTAAATTGTATTTTTTGTAAGAAATAAAAATTTGTTGTATTTTTTTCTTTATTGATATATAACTAAACTTGACTTTTACAAAGAAATTTTTACGTATATATCAAAATCAATAAATGGTATATCAAAAGAATTAAATTAACGGAGACAACAAATTGTAATCTTTTAACAGCTTGAAGGTTTCTTGATTTGTTGAACCATGTGACTTTGTGAGCTCCAACAAGTGCATTGTTCCTTTGAGCTTCGTCCACACAAAGATTATGTCGTCAGTTCCATCTCACAACCGTACCAAATCAAATACTGCAACAATATCAAAATGGGTCTACCTCCTTTTTACATTTATCACATTACATGTACCATGATCCCCATATACAATCTCAATGTACATCATCATGGTCACAAAAGGGGAAATAATAATAAAATTATTGAGAAGACTTAC